CAAATACGTCCATTTTATAATTTTGTAAGTTTTTAAAATTTTTGTTTTTTAATTGTGAAAAAGGGGAACTAACGAGAGGAATTAGATTGGTTGTTCCGGATATTCGGACCTAAGAAGTCCAGCTATCGAAATTTTCTTTACGGTTTTTAAGAACCGACAATCCTAGAGAGATGGAATGTTGTGAAATTTAATATGCAACTGAAAATTATGAAAATTTAATAATTTTTGTATACAAAAAATAGAAAAAATCGGCACACGATACTTATTAAAAAATTTTTTTTTGAGTTTATTATTATAAAAGATTTGTAAAAATCTGAGTAATATTTTAGTTAAATTATTTTTTTTATTTTTAAATAATTATTTACAGGTTAGCAATTACATTGAAAATGCTACTTTAGAATCGGACGAAGAGGAAGAAGAATATGACGATGAGGATTGAATGAAATACCTGCAAGGAGTGTGCTAGTTCCGCCTTTTATTTTTAGCCTTTCGCCGATTTTAGCCTTTTTTAACTTTCGCCTTTCGCTTTTTAACTAAACCTTCGTCTTTTCTTTGTTTTTTAAAATCACTTTCGGACACCATGCCACATACATATTAAATAACACTCACAGCTTAGGATACGTTTTTAAATTTGTCTGGCCATGGGAAGGGGCTGCTCTTCTATAAAAATACTAGCCTCTCAAAATAGGGCAAGATTTCAGCTCCGAGTGATATTTATGAGTTTTGATTGTTGATATTTTATTTAAAATCTTTATTTAAATGTTTAACTTTCTTTCGCATTTTAATTATGTAACGAACAAGCATAAAAAAGCTAGCATTATTTCTTCAAGATCTAATGTAGAAAGGTCAAAATTATTTGACAGATTTGTGAATCTCCAGATTTGACAACCTACATATATGATCAGAATCAGCTTGTGCAGATGATTTAATGAATATTTGAAAAGTTTAGTAATTTAACTAAATTTTGAAAATTTATAAAAAAGTTTGAAATAAAACTTCGGTCATCCTCGGTCGGGTCCAAGTCTGCCACTCAACCAAATATACCAATACCGAATATTCGATCTCGATTGTTGAACCCCGATACCGATTTTTTGTTATCGAAATCATCAATCAAAAATACCGATACTGATCTGAATCTAGATACAGCTCACTCTACTTTGACTAGATCGGCATAGCGCCATAGTTTTAATAATTTTAATCTATTTTTGAACTTAAAATCACTTTAAAAATTTCAAAAAATATTATCATAAAGAATGATTATTTTTAATTAATTTTTCTTAGAAAGGCTCAGCGATGTAAACTTTAATTCGTTTATCCCAATTTTATACTGATCCGTTAATTTTAATTCTTCAATTAATTCGCCAAATCTCCCATCAATATCACTCTCATCAATATTATTACTCTCTTTACTTAAAAGTTCAATCCCAATTATCCATGTAGAGCAAAAACGCATTCTGATAAACGAATAAAATAAATTTTAATATTTTCTACAAATACAGAAAATATTAAATTTTGAGTTTGACAAAAAAGTTTGAAAATGTTTGATAGGTTAACACCGTAAAAACGACTATTACCGCGGTAATTTGTGCCGATTATTTTTTTAAATTTTGAAATAAACGTTAATTCATGGACTTTGACGGCGGTTTTTCGTCAGGAGGTGTTTATCTGACTGTGTTTTTAGCCTGACACGCAAAATATTTTTATTACCTAATTTTTTATTATTAAAAATCTTAATTACCGCCACCGAAAATCGCATTTATCTAACACTGACCCAAGTTCTTTCCTTCACAAAATTTCTTACCGTACCTCCTTAATAGTTACCCCATCAAGGTTACAAATATTAAAAAATAATTTTTCTTTAATAATGGCAGTATTACTACATAAATGCCATTAAGAGCTAGTAATTTTTTCAAAAAAAAATAAATATGAAAAATTAGAATTTATATAAATTTACATACTTTTCATTAACCTCCGGACAGAGATCAACAATCTTCTTTCCAAGATGACAATAATTTATTTTATCCAATTTATTTTCTATATTTTTTAATAATTTATAGGGAAGTTTTTCCTCTACATATCCGCAAAAATTTTGTTTTTCTAACAAATTTGTAGCATAACAGGAAATTAAAACAAAATGTTGATACTTGAAGGATAAAAAAGATTTAAGCACTCGAAACTCATTTTTAACTACCCTCAACACAAGGGACTCCCCTTATTAAAATACGTTTTTTATTGTCCATTGGGTGGAAGGATGTACCTCCTACACTCTTTCAAGAAATGATATGCATGCCAAAGTTTTTAAATAAAAATATTATTAAGGTTAGTTCCCGGCCAGAGCCAGTCTGAAAGAGAGCCAGTCTGAGAGAGAAGAAGGTATTACTGTTATTTAAGATAAATGAATGCCCTAATAGTAGCCGTGGGCTATTATTTCCCACGTATCTAATTGTGTGGGGATATGGGTCTCACACATAGGCTTCGTCAAACCCATTACAAGGTACAGGGAGATAGCTAAAAATGAGGTCCGAGTTTATCTAAATTTAATAACCATTTCTGAAAACTTCTTTGGCTCCAAAAATCTTTTCAAAGAATTATTCATTGTTTCAGAAGATTGGCTAATTGCTCCAACTTCTTTTAAACCTGTCAAATTAATTTTAAAAATAATTTTTTAAATAATTTTTATATAATAACCATCAAGCATTGCTTTTTCGATTATTTTTGTTGTTGGTTTGTTTATTTGTTTAGCCAAAATTTGTTCTGGATTGGTTGGGGAAAGGACAATAAATATACCTTTATTCTCGTTTATTTTGTCTTTTCCGTTTTCTTTTATTTGAACAGGAATTGACTTATTCCTAAATAAATTTATTTTTAAATTACCAAATCCAAATGTGATTTCTAACTAAGTAAGGCTATCCACTTAGTCATATCCCAACCCATTACCGAATGATTTTCCATGAATGAACTAATTCTCGCCGAAAATCCATTCCCATCTACCTACATATACCTGCTCCAAACAACCCTAATATTAACTTATCTCCATTCATTGTTTAGTTTTAATAGATTAGCGTTTTTTTACGATTTTGATGACTTAATTACTCTGACTAAAATATTCCTTGTTTATGAAACCGGCTTTGTTTAGACAAATTTCTAACCATGTCAAATATGTCAAAAAGCAACGTTCAATTAATTCAATTAAAGACACGCTTGGATACAATATTTTTATTTTGGCTAACATTATAGAAATTGAATATTGGTCTAAAAAGCCAAAACGTTCTTGATTTACAAAATTATCTGAAAAAAATTTTCTTTTAATTTTCCTAAAAATTCGACATACTTTTAACCCAACGATTTAAAATAAATAAGGCTATGGTAAATTTATTATTATTTTTAATATCCGGCAATTCTTTTATTAAATTATATGTTTCGTGTTTGTATAAATTCTCATTTGTTTCAATTGTGAATTTAATTCCTTCAATATTTAATTCAATCATTTTTTCATTGTAATTTGTATGTTTTTGTAAATGTTTGAAAGTGAACTTAAAATTGTGAATTTAAATTTAATTTAAACCTTTAATTTAACGGTAGCCGTCGTATTATTAGTTACCCACCGAATCGGGTTGTCGCGATTCGGTGATTTGTCATAAATCACCGAGTAAATTTGTCATAAATCGCCGATTCTTTGGACTAGCCAAGGCAAGATGGATGACCTTATATGAACATTAACAATAATATTTTCCCTACGATTTTTATTATTCACTTCTTATTAAGTTTTTATTCAATTAAATTGTAATTTTGTATATTCAATAAATAAATATTTTTATTTATTCTTATTGTTTGGACAAGAAATATATTAGATGGTTTCGGCGTACCCACATCCTAAAGGGAAGTCCCGGTTCTATTCAGGGTTGGGTTTAGGATATTTCCCCAAAGCATTGAGATCCTTCAATCCTATAAACGTAACAGCCTCTAGGAGTCTAGCGTTGTGACAAAGACTGATTAGCCCGTTGTGGCCTATATTGTTGTTAGTCAAAAGTCCGTGTCATCAAGGCCCGTCGAGGCTCCCTGTTTCTTTCCAACCAAAAAAAAATTAAATAATTCAAGTCCTAACATGCTCTCTCTGAACATTCGTAGATTAAAATAATATATCTAACCTCAAAATCTTTAAATTTTTCTTTACATAAAAAACAATAGAGGGAATTGTCTTTACAATTTTTCGAAATTAGAGGTTCACAAATTGACTTTTCAGAACCAAAATAATTCGAAACTAAATGGTCATTAAATACAATATTAATTTCAACATCTTCAATTACCCAAATACCAAACTCGTAAATCCCGCTAATTTTAAATTTGCCTTTAATCCCATTTTTAGACTTCCATTTATTTATTATTTTAATTAAATTTCCCATAGCCTTTTTAATTATTCCCTCGTCTTTTTTTATTTCCAAAAAATCTAAAAAATCATGATCGAGTTTTGTTTCATATATTTCAATGGGTTGGAAGCCTTCTGGATTTAAATAAAAATTTTCTTTTTGTTCTGGGTTGTCTATATTAAATTGCTCTCTTATTCTCCTCATTTCACCTTTACGCTTTGAAATTTTATTTATCCAATTAATTGTAATTTCATTGTTCAATTCAAAAATTACTCGAACTATTTCAAATTGGTTTTCTTCATAACGCGAATTTTTTTCCAAAAGTGCAGTAGAAAATGCATCAAGATGAAGCTGACGTCTCATCTTTATTAAAAAATATTGTAAGACAGACTAAGTTTCTCCCTAAGTTTCTCCCATAAATAAAAACGATCTTTACATATGGGGTGAGTGGTTATCAATATTGCATTGAAGGAGCAGTCTCATCTGGGATGGCTTCGACCGCATCTGGGATGGCTTTTTAATTAATTCCAATCTATATTTTGGCAAAAAATAAATATCTCAATTTAAAAAAAGTCAGCTACCTTCTTATGATACAGGCCCGGGTTGTGATTATAATTTGTCATACTAATCCGGTTAGCCTGATCTCCCGTCTGATCTTGTCCCAATTCCAACTTCGCCTACATGTGCTCGTAGACCTACAAAACTCGGGCAGATCCGGAACATACATAAACTGACCTTTAATAGCTCTTCCTTTTTCACATTCTTAACTTTACATTTTAATTCAACTATTCCATTCATTCTTTTAATTAAATCCAACATAATACAATACAAATCCTTTTCAATTTTATTAATTTCTTTTATTCCAACTTTTTTCTTAAAATCTTTATTTAATTTATATTCCCAAGTTCTTTCCAATTTTGCTACTAATTTATCTCCATTTTTTTCATTTCCCTCATCTTCTCCAGGAAATAAAATTTCAAAAACTTGGGGGAATTTCCTCAAATATTTCAAAACTTCAAAACGTTTCGTCAACAAATTTAAATAAACAACTACATCCAAAATCTTTTTTTCATTGAAATTTTGAGGGTTTTCTATAACACTCTTATATAAATTTTTTAGTTTATTTTCCCCATCTGAATTGATAAATTCTTTCAAAATCCAAGGTTTCTGACTCTCATTTGCTTGAACATTTTTATTAATTAGTCCTTTCCCGATTTTTATTTTTCCTGTCAGATCGTCTTCGTTTTCAAATTCTTCCTTAACCGCCTTTTTCATATCTTCTTCAATTATTTGTAGATCTTTTGCTTTATCCTTCTCTTCTTTCTCCTCTTCTTCCGTCTTTGACTTACTTTCTTCCTTTTCATCTTCTCTTTTACCATTGCCACTTGCCTTCTTTTCTTCTTCCTCTTCCTTCTCCCCTTCCTTCTTGTTTTTCCTCTTTTCCTTTACCTCCTCTTCCTTCTTTACTTCTTCAATATTCTTCACTAAATCCCCCATGTCCTTTTCATCTTCCCTTTCATCCTTTCCCTTTGCCTTCTTTTCTTCATCCTCTTCCTTCTCTCCTTCCTTTTCCTTTTTCCTCTCTTCCTTTACCTCCTGTTCCTTTTTTACTTCTTCAATATTCTTCTCTGAATCCCCAATGTCCTTCTCATCTTCCTCCCATCCAATTTCCCCAACTAAATTTGATGCACTTTTAATTTCCTTATCCAAACTTAATTTATTATCCACATTTTTACCCATTTTATTTTTCTTCATTTTCTTTTTTGATTTATTATTTTTCTTCAATTTTCCTTTATTACTTGATACTTTTTTAGTCGATTCTCCATCATTAATTTTAATAACTTCATTTTCGTCATTTAAATTATCTTCATCCTTTTCAAAAATTAATTCTTCTTTTTCTTTCCCTTTATTTTTTAAATTTAAAATATTCAAAATTGTATTTATTTCATTTTCTGGTATCAGTTTTAAAAGATTTTCTCTTACTAAATTGTTTAATTCGAATGCTAAATAAAAAACAAGGTTATTTTAGTTTGTGGATTTAGTGAAACAATGAAGAGAGAGGGATGAAATCTCAAATTCTCCAACTTTCAGAGATGGTCAACAACATAATAGTCTATATTTTGACTCAGAGTTGAGACCGTCCCTTGATTTAGTGTCACTCAATTTTGCTAATGAATTGAGTGATGAATTCGGTCACATTTGACAACAAGTTATAATATCATACTTACTGTTATGTTTCGGATCTAGTAGAAAAACTGGCGATCAGTCTTGGTCTATCATTAACCCTGCCTATTGCCACCTTAGTTATTCTCGTATTTACTCTTGTAATAAACCATTTTCTATTCTTTTATTATTCTGTTGGTCCTAAGTTAGACAACACCAAATGTCATAAAAAAGACTTACAAGAATTAAGTAAATTCCAAAACTCTTCATCTGTTTTTAGCAATTTAATTATATTATTTAAATGTTCTTTTTTAAGCCATTGAATAAAATATTCTGTTGTTTCTCCTAAACAATTGTCTCTTTTAGTTCGTATATCGTTCCAAATTTCAATTAAATCCTTTACTATTTTTTCTTCATAGGTCGAAAAAATTTTGTCAGAGGAAATTGGCGATTTCTCATTCCTTTTATCTTTAATTCTCATTTTTATGAAGTTTCTATTCTATAATTTTAATATTATTTACATATCTTGCTGACAAAAATTGAAAAAAATCTGGCTTCTGGCCTTTCTATATTCTCAAAATTACGGCAAAACACTGTTTAAGAGGTGAACTTTGATGAAAATTATTACAGAGAGATTCGGATATTGGATCCATGTGTATCGGATGTCTGAGTATCGTTAAGTTTTTGCACTTTTCCTTGCTGGCGCATTTTTAAGCAAGATAGTAAACCTTATTAATCGAGACCCATTCGGGAAGTGCTACCTTATCAAGTTCAGAAACAACACTAAAGTATGCTGATCTATCATCAGACAGATATCAGGCTGTCGTATTTTCACAATTAATTATCCTGGGTAGTTATTTTTAGACTATTCCACTTAAGAATGTTATTAATCAGCTGTGTGGTTATTAATCGACCCTTCATTGTTTGGAAACCCGAATGGCTATAGCCTGGCCCCTTTTCCAAATAAGTAACAACAATAAAAAATTTAGAAACCTTTCTTTTGTATTCTTCTTCAGTTTCCATCATTTGTTGAAATAAAAGACGAATATTTCCTTCGTAAAAATTGTTTACACTATTCTCTGAGGATATTAAACCCGCATAAACTAAAACAAAATTTCTCTCATATTCTAATATACCAACAAGTTTTACATAATTCCAAAATTTAGAAAAAATTTTTTTATTTTCCAAACTTTCCCAGTCTCCTTTTCTGTTTAAATCTTCTATTTTTTCTTCAATAAATTTATACCAAACAAGTGCGTTTGCTGCAAGTTCATTTATTTTTTTTATTTTTTGAAAATTTTCATCATTAATGTCAATAAATAAAATGTTCAAATAATGCTCTTTAAGACGCTCATTGCCAGAATATACTTTAATAAAAATATATCGTAAATCTTCTAATAGAACCACACTCTCTAGCAGAAGTACACTCGCTAATATAAGCACACATACGAGAGGAGCGAAAAATACAAGCACATGTGGTTCTATTAGAAGATTTACTGTATGTATATAGAAAATAATAGTGGTAAAAATTTAGCCCCGGAGCGATCTCCTGGCTGAACTACCACCTGTACTAAATACTTAAACAAAATCAGTACTACTAATCAGTACTACTTCTTTTGGATCACGAATAGATCAGATCAAAAAGGAGAGCGGAGTATATCTATTTTCATTAAATATATTGAAAATAATATATAGTATATCTATTTTCAAAAATCTCCTATATCTATTTTCATTAAACATATAGCCTAACCTCAATTCAGCAAATATATTTAAGTCACAAATTTATAGTCCCAAATTCGTTATTGAAGAGGGAGGGTTTAGAATTAGAGCCCGACCAGATCAAGTTTGATTTTTGGTATTAGCCCTTCCCGGAAACAACTCCATATCCGAAAAATCTCTTTGGGTCCAACTACCAATTATATTCCCACCTTCTTCATTAATCAGCTTCATTTCTTCAATTAATGTCTTAAAATTGCCTCTATCTAAAAGTAAGGTATGCATCAGATATCTTGAATATTTTTTTCTTTTAATTTTTTCCCTCAAATCTTTATTATTTTTTAATTCTTTTTTTAAATAAGCAAAATGATCTTCTCTTAAAAACATTTTAATTTCTTTTTGTATATCATCATTTTCTATATTTATTTTATATTTATTTACTTTATCTAATAATTTCTTAACATCTTTATTTGTTTTTATTTCAATTAAACTTGACGTATTTGAAGAAATAAATTTTATAAAATTAAATAAATTATATAATAATGTATCATCTTCTTTATTTTTAAACCATGAATAACCAATTTTGTTGGTTTCTTCAAATTTTTCTTTTAAAATATTTAAATTTGGTATTTTTTTGTTTTGTGGAATTAAATTTTGATAATCTTTATTTTTTATTAATAATGTAGTAATTTGTAAACGAAGCTCTTTTGTTAAATGTTTCTCTTTATTTGAGGCATATTCATAGCTTCCTTCCTCATCTTCATCTTCTACTAAAAGTACATTCGTGTAAAGATACAAATGTACTTCAGGGACGATTTCTTCTGTAATTAAAAAATCAAATTAGGTCATTTTTGTTCCTGACAATCAGAAGCACCGGCTTAATGATCTAATATTGAGGGTCCCGGTGCTGGATATGGCTTCGGCCTATTCCACCAAACGACATTGACTTCTAATGTCAAGGAGAAATGACAACTAGGGTTGGTCCCCGTCCCCGAAAGTCGGGGAATTTGAAAGACTACTGCCAACCTAAGCTTAATTTTGAAAACGAGATGAATGCATGATTTTGATATGCCCGGAGTCTAAGCTAAATTTTGTTTGGTGGTTATATGTTCGAAGAAATTCCTACATATAGTTCGAAATGCGGAGAGGCTATGAAAACAGTCCCTGAAGCCCGAGACATTATTTGAAAATGGTGTGGGTTATTGTCTCTAATTTTTAATGGAAACCTACCTATTCTCATTAATTCGGGATATAATTCCTCTAAATGGGCAAGCATTTTAGGTCCAAGCAAAGCCAAAAATGCTCTTTTATTTAAATTCTGTTCAACAAAACTGTATAACTCATAAACTTTTCTTTTTAACTGCATTTTTATATTTGCAAAATTTATATAGTAAAATTGTTTGATACGAGAAGGTAAAAGATATTCTTCAATAAATAATTCAATTTGTTGTTTATTTTGGCAGTCAATATTTTGAAAGAGCGATTTTTCGTCCTAACAAAAGCAACGTTAATAATTTTTGAAATTCCTAGTTTTTCAAAGAATATCGGGAAACATTAATTAGAATTTCCTTTTCACGACACTCAAGGGGACCATGGCCGTCGACCCAAGAAAAAACAACGACCCAAACCCAAAGTGACCCCAATCCACACCCAACCCACTCGCTTAACAATCGCCGGAAATCTAGTCGGCAGGATTTCTAGTCTGAAACCAAGTGAGAAATTTTAGACGGATAATAAACATTTAAAAGGCTGTTTAATATCTACAGAGAAAAAGCCATAGTCCTTGTAGACTCAACCAGTAGAGAGAATGCCTATAAACTAGCAGAGGTCGGTCTGAAATGACGAAGGTCCCGAAAATCGGAACTGTCGGAAGTCGGAAATACTAACGAAATTCCGACCGACCTCTACCTACTAGGAACAACTACTTCTGCCTGGAATACTCCCCGAAGTATGTTCGAATCCTTCCCTCGACTTTTGATTTCTGTTACTACTTATGTAGATTAACTAGTTTGATAGGCTAATCGACTCTCGCTCTGCCCGAAGAGATCTACCCGACATTCAAAACAAAATTCTACTTGTAACAAGAATCGTCTATAGGTCGACATTAAATTGTCTCTCCAGATTTTCATCTTCATAATCTCTTCATCTTTAAGAAATTCAACAATAAAATTGTGTAATTCGCAAAATTTCATTTTTTCGTCTTCAAAAAAGGCCAATCTACCTTCTACCAATTTTGCTTTAAAAATATATTTATTAATAACACCTTCAAACATTTCATTCCATCCTTCATCATTTTCAACAAACTCTTTATAAATTAAATAGGCAGAATTACTTGAAGGACGTATTTCAAATTTTTCAATAATATACTGATAAAATTTTGAAATCATTTTAATTAAAAATTTTTTCAGAAATTCTTTATTTCCCTCCTCAAAATTTTCAATAAATTTTACATAACCATTAGCTACTGTTATTATTTCCTCGTATGTTTTTTCTCCTACAATAGCCAATAAACTTTCGTTATGAGCTGCTTCTCGACTATTTTTGAATAATAAAATCAAGAAATTTATTAAAAACAAAATTTGTTTTAATTTCATTTTATCTAAAAATTTATTATTGGATGTATATTTATTAGGGTTGTTACCCCGTCCCCGAAAGTCAGGGAATTTGAGAGATTTTTTGAAAATTCCCCGCCCCCCCCCCCCCGTGGCGCTGTCTCCCCGAAAAGTTCTCACCGTGGGGGTACAACGGGTACAACAACCATCACGGTACAACCATAGTGTATATGGATTTTTAGTATTTTTATCTTAACTTCTCCTAATGCTTTAGGAATCATACATGTTAGTCCTATTTTATAAATTGACAGAGTAATCTTATTTTTTTGTTTAACTAATTTATTATGTAAAAAAGTATTTAAAAAATTAAAAAAATGAAAAAGAAATTAATAAATCGCTTTAATAAAAACAAAAGGGCAATAAATTTTTTTGTACAATGTATTATGAAATGGGCAGCAAAAGCACTTATAAATATTAGCAAATAAGTCTCGTGAATTTTTACAAAGATTGGGAAATCTAACAATGATGAAATTTAAAATAGATGTCTAAATAATGATAGAATTTTTATTTGGGAGAACCACACACCTCATTTTCTATTTTTCATAATATGTACAGAATGGTCAGACTTTCTCTTTTCCTCAATTTCATTCAATTTTCCTTGTGGCATGTTCAATGAGAGACATTGATAAAGAGTTTGAAATAAGTTTTCTCAGTTTGAAATAAGTTTTCTAAATCTAGTTGGTCACTGGGTATACTAGGAACTATCTAAGCGACTTATAGAGGAGCACCTTATTATTAAATACGATTCTAGGCCCAAAGAGGCATTATATTTATAATAATATGAAGTCCTATTTAATATATTAAAAATTAAAAATATTAAAAAATTATTCTTTTTATGAAATATAAAAATCAAAAAGAAATAAATTGCTTTATTAAAAGTGAATAAATAAAGTCAGGAAATTGCCCTTTTATGTATTATGAATTTTTGCGCTTATTTCATCATGGCATGTCCACATGCAAAACATGAATTTACATGTTTCCCCTCCCTAATTATGAAATAATTATGAATTATTTATGAAATACAGAATGACTAAAAAGAAACGGTTCTACTTGACTTTATGATTCCAATCACAATTTATTAGATTTTATTAAATAATATATTAAAATATAATCAAAAATTATTTCTTTATAATCAAAAATTATTTCTTAACCACAAAGTTTAAAATTTAAAAGATTCAGTTGTTTTTCTTAGAAAGGCTTAGAAGCATAAACTTTAATTCGCTTATTTTAAATTTATTATAACCATCTAATTTTAATTCCTCAATTAATTCTTCAAATCTCTCTTCAATATCTTTTTTATCATTTTTAATATTTTCGTTATTTAAAAGCTCAATACCAATTATCCAAGTAGAGCAAAATGGCATTCTAAAAAAATTTGAACTTAAAAATGTCTAAGGATTTTCTCCAGAGTTGGACACAAATATTTAACCGAACTTGAACCGAGAACAAAAATCGAAAACTGAAAATAACCGAAAATTTGGGATACAGGTTAATAACCGGGTGTGTATTGTTAATATTGCATTATTAATCTTTTTTTCTAGAATAAAATTTGAAAGTTATTCTTGTGATTTATAGCTACTTACGTCTGAAAAGGACTAAATAGAAAAAATCTGAATCTAAATAAATTTACATACTTTTCATTAATCTCCGGACAAAGATCAACAATCTTCTTTCCAAGATGACAATAATTTATTTTATCCAATTTATTTTCTATATTTTCTATTAATTTATTGGGAAGTTTTTCCTCTACAAATCCACAAAAATTTTGTTTTTCTAACAAATTTGTAGCATAACAGGAAATTAAGACAAAATGTTGATACTTGAAGGATAAAAATGATTTAAACACTCGAAACTCTTTTTTAACTACCCTAATAAAAAGGAACTCCCCTTATTAAAATAAGTTTTTAATCGTCTATTGGGGAGGAGGATGGATGTATCTCCTACTCTCTAGCATGCCACAGTTTTTATATAGAAATATCATTAAGGTTAAAATATCATAAATCTGCCAACAATTAATTCCATTAAACATATTTAGAGTTATCTATAGATATCTATAGTTTATCTAAATTTAAAAACCATTTCTGAAAATTTCTTTAGCTCCAAATATTTTTTCCAAGAAGTAGTTATTTCTTCAGAAGATTGGCTAATTTCACCAACTTCTTTTAAACCTGTCAAATTAAATTTAAAAATAAATTTTTAAATAATTTTTATATAATAACCATCAAGCATTGCTTTTTCAATTATTTTTGTTGTTGATTTATTTATTTGTTTAGCCAAAATTTGTTCTGGATTGGTTGGGGAAAGGACAATAAATATACCTTTATTCTCGTTTATTTTGTCTTTTTGATTTTCTTTTATTTGAACAGGGATTGACTTATTCCTATAAAATTTGTTTTTACTAATTAACAAATATTTATTTTATAACTAAGTCCACAATTAGCATTATACTAATAACCAAAGTTGTACCCCAGGGATGGGACGGGTTGAGTAAAATGTCGAGTGTGGTTCGGGTCCAGTTTTCAAAATTTCCTTTGGATCCGATTTCGGGTAACCCGTCCCATCCATATTGACACTGACCCATTATAGAACGATTTTCTATCATTTCCCACGACTCCCCCCTTACCCCACATATTTGAACGTTAATCTAATAATCCTAATATTAACCGATACCCTCAGTCTCTTGTTAAATTCAGATTTTTGTAATTTTCGGATTTCGATATATTTTTAGAATTAAAAAATATTTTTCTAACCATTCTAAATAAGTCAAAAAGAAACGTTCAATTAATTCAATTAAAGACACGCTTGGATACAATATCTGTATTTTGGCTAACATTATAGAAATTGAATATTGGTCTAGGAAGCCAAAACGTTCTTGATTTACAAAATTATCTGAAATTTTTTTTAAATTTTTCCTAAAATTTCGACATACTTTTAGCCCAACGATTTAAGATAAATAAGGCTATGGTAAATTTATTATTATTTTTAATATCAGGTAATTCTTTTATAAAATTATTTGTTTCGTGGTTGTATAAATTCACATTTGTTTCAATTCTGAATTTAATTCCTTCAATATTTAATTCAATCATTTTTTCATTGTTATTTGTATGTTTTTGTAAATGCTTGAAAGTTAACTTAATAAAAAATCATTTATTTATTTTTTTTTATTCTGAAATCTAGATTGATGAAGAGGGGTATGAAGGGGTTAAGGAGATATAGATATTCAAGGAGATAGATTAATAGCATATTTCTCTTATTTGTTAATCCCAACAAGATAGGTGAAACAATAACCCTTTAATCTAAATCTCCGATATTCTCTTAACCAACCAAACACTTTTCGATTTTGCGAATATCTCAAAAAATATTCGAACGGGATTTTATAGATATTTCAAGAACTCGATCTTGACATTTAAGATTTTTTTCGAGACTTTTCTCGATCAGATCTCTAGTCCTTAATGTTCTAAAAATCGAGGTTTCAGTGAAAATTTCGCAGGCTCACAATAATTAGTCCAGTAATTTAAAATAAGTAGTAAAGTAATGAGAGCCATTAAAGGGACTTTCACATTGTTCAATAAAAATTAAAAATTTAATATATCCAACCTCAAAATATTTAAATTGCCCTTTACATAAAAAACAATAGAGGGAATTGTCTTTACAATTTTTCGAAATCAGGGGTTCACAAATTGACTTTTCAGAACCAAAATATTTTGAAACTAAACGGTCATTAAATACAATATTAATTTCAACATCTTCAATTGCCCAAATACCAAACTCGTAAATCCCGCTAATTTTAAATTTGCCTTTAATCCCATTTTTGGACTTCCATTTATTTATTATTTTAATTAGTGCTTCAATTGCTTTTTTAATTATTTCCTTATCTTTGTTTATCTCTAAAAATTTTAATAGATTATTCTCCAAGTTTGTTATCTTTTCTATTTCTTTTCCGATTTGTAATTCGTTCCCCAGATTTTCGTTTTTAAAACTTTTTGGTAAAATTTCTACTCCTTTCTTACCCTCCTTCATTTCTTCTTTGTCCTCTATTTTCTCTTCTTCCGTCTCTTCCTTCCTTTCTTCTTTTCTCTTTTCCTCTTCCTTCTCTTCTCTTTCCTTTGCCTTCTTTTTTTCTTCATCATCTTCTTCTTTTGCTTCCTCTTTTTCCTTCTTTTCTTCTTTTACCTTTCCTTCATTTTTTAAATTTTTTTCACTTTCAATTTTTGATTCCTTAACCAAACTCTCCTTTTTATCAATGTTTTTTGGATAAATTTCCACATCCTCCTTCACCTTCATTACTTTTTCTTCCTCCTCTTCTGATTTTCCTACTTCATTTTTTAATTTTTCATGTTTTAAAGGATTGTTTCCGATTATTGTCGTTTTCTCCTCATTTTTAGAAATTTTTGGGCAAATCTCCATTATCTCTTCCTTATCTTCAATTAATCTTAGATTTTTTGATTTATCTTTCTTTTCTTTTTCAGCCGTCTCTGGTTTATCTTCTTCCTTTCTTTCCTTTGCCTCCTCTTCTTTCATCTTCATTTTCAGGCGATCTTTTTCTTCTTCTAACTTTTCTACTTCTTCACTTTTTAATTCTTCAAGTTTTGAAGTAAAATTAATTTTGTTATCTAAACTTAATTCCTTTTTTGTTTTAATTTCTTCCTCAATTCTAATAGGCATCTTTCCTTTAATATCTTTAATTTCTACAATTTCTTCCTTTTTAATATTATTTAAAGAAAACTCTTCCTTTTCTTCTTCCTCTTTTGTCTTCTTTTGTATTTCTTTCTCCTCTTCTTTTTCTTCTCCCTCCATTCCTTTAACCTCCTTTCCTCCCATCTTTCCCTTCATTGCTTCCTTCTCTTCCTCGTTAACAACATCCTCCAAATCTCTCTCTTCCTTCTCTTCTTCATCTGCTTCAAATTTTTCAAAAATCTTCGACGAACCTTCATTTTTCTTATCCAAATTTAATTTATTTTTCCTTTTATTTTTCTTTTTTGATTTATTCTTCTTTGTTTTTCCTTTACTATTTATTAATTCTTTTTTCATTATATTTTCATTTTCATTTAAACTATCTTTATCAGAAGATGTTGAAATACTTTCTTTTTCCTCCTTATTTTTAGAATTTAAAATTCTATAAATTTCATCGATAGAATTTTCTGGTATCATTGATAAAAGATTGGTTTTTGTTGAATTGTTTAAGTCTAAAACTGAATAAGGGTAATAATTACTTTTGTTGATTAATTGCCCCCTCTCTAATAACCACACAGAATAGCTTCGTTATAAATTTTGATTTGACAAAGTTATGACCGTTTGTTTTTACCCCTTCCACAAGGTCTACGCGGAAAAAAGTTTTTGCCGCTGCGGAGGAAGCCGGGCATGTCGAGCGGAACGACGGCCGCCGCTTCGCTACGTTCGCCGCAACCGTAGCGAAGCGGCACCCCCCTATGGTTTTTCAATTTTCCGTGACCTATAACTCGTTCAAGAATTATTTCCTTAAGTAGAGAGTGGTACCTTTCGACTCAGCTCGTCGAGAGGAATCGAATGACATATGTTACGTCCCGAACTTTTACCACCGGTACACTCCACTATATCCAAGAACTGTTCAGCGTAAAAACACACTATTCTTAAACTTATCACTCAAGACATATGTATTAGCAAACTAATTACTTATATCTTAAATACAATTTAATTTAAACACTTACAAGACTTAATTGTATAAAGAAATCCTTCATCATTTTCTAGCAATTTAATTATATTTTTTAAATGTTCCTTTTTAAGCCATTTTGTAAAAGTGTTTGATGTTTCTTTAATATCATTATTATCACTTTCATTCCGAAACTTTGCCCATGAATCAATTAAACTAATTGTTTTTGCATCATCATAATTTTTAGGACTTTTAGTATCGTTATTTTTTATCATTTTGCCTTCTTTAATTTTCATTTTTAAATATTTTCTATTCTAAAATTAATTTATTTAAAAATTATTATAAGAAATTCCAGCAAAAATCACTGATCTTGAATGTTTAACAAATCTAAAATAACCTAAATTCTTAACTTTATCGACCTAGTTACCGTATTTTCTCTAATAGAGCTTCCGGCCGCTCTATTTTTCAATCCTCTCTCAAAGGGCCGCTCTTATGTATACGGCCGTCCAACTGGAGATGGGCGCTCAATTAGAGAAACTACGGTATCCGCCTTAAGATAATTTCTGATAGCAACACTGCATTTTCCAATTTAAAATGAGTTGCAGAATTATATAGACGCATTAGCGGTTCGCCCAGTAAAAAAGCATTTAAATTCCTCTAAAGTAGGGTTGCGCCCCGAGCCTTCGGGGTTGACAAAGTCGGGGTAGGGGTTTTAGGTCAAAAAATGTCGGGGTTCGGGGTCGGGGTTAGTCGGGGTTTACTATACATATACTTATTATAAAATATAATTGGAAAACCTCTGTTTTATATTCCTCATCAGTTACATTCATTTCATTATCCAACCCTTTCATAGTTCCTTCGAGAAAATAATTTACATTATTCTCATTAGATATTAAATTCTCGTAAATTAAAACAAAAACTTTTTCATAAACTAATATATTAGTTATTTTTATTCCTTTCCAAAATTCGGAGAAAACTTTTTTATTCTCCAAACTTTTCCAATCTCCTTTTCCGTCTAAAGGATTTATTTTTTCTTCCATAAATTTATACCAAACAAGTTGTTTTGCTGCAAGTTCATTTATTTTCCGTATTTTCTTTGAATATTCATCATCGGTATCACTAATTAAAGCATTCACATAATGCTCTTTAAGACGATTATTGCCATAATATACTTTAATTAAAACTATATTAGATTAATTTAATGTTTTCCCTCTCTTGAACTCCGAATCTCTCAAAGATCATCTATTAAAAATAGGGTAGCAACCGACCCTTCGGGGGTGGATGTGTCGGGATCGGGGTTGCCAGGAAAGGCACGTCGGGGTTCGGGTCGTGGTTTTTGCTAAAAATTCCGTCGGGGTCGAGGTTTTAGGAGTCGGATTGCTACCCTAATTAAGAATAATAATCAAATAAATTGATATAACTGAATAGCAAATGGTCTTAGCCCACCAAACTAACTCGGAACAGCTTGATTTTATAACCAGTGGTTGAAATTTTGAACTTTAGCCATTTAAAATGTTCTTATTTATTTTATTTTTTACGAATTTTGGTACGAGCTTACAATCACTTTATAACTAATACACAGTCCACGAGATATCTTTTAGTTCGGACTATTTAACTAATAAATTTATAGATCAACCTTCCTCATCTATCAGATCCATTTCTTCAACAAAATGTTTAAAATTCGCTATTTCTGCAAGGAATTTATAAATTATATATCTTGAAGATTTTTTTCTTTTAATTTTTTCCCTCAATTCCTCATTATTTTTTAATTCTTCTATTAAATAAAGAACGTGTTCATCACTTAAATATTTACTAATTTCTCTTTTAATATTTAATTCTTTATGTTCTTCAATATGAAGCTTTAATCCTTTCAATAATGATTTAACATCATTTTTTGTTTTTATTTTTTCAAATATTTCCGTATTATAAGACATAAATGATACAAAATAATATAAATTAAATAAATAATTATCTTCCTTGGTTTTTAGCCATAAATAAGCATTTTCCCTGTTTCCTTCGAATTTTTCTCTCAAAAAATCCAAAACCGCCAAGTATTTTATATTTTCCTTGTTTTCATTCCTTTTACTAATTATTGGAATAAGGCTTTCAAGATGAATACTTTTAATTAACAATATAGTAATGTGTAGACGTAATTCTTTTATTAAATTTAGTTTCTTGCTTAATTCATATTCATAACTTTTTTCTTCATTTAATAAAAACGCTTCTTTGTAAAGATACAAAAGAACTTCAGGCTGAACATCTTCTGTAATAATGTAAATATAGTCAAATCCGGTAGTGGTTCTTTTGGATATGTGCTAGGAGTATGATTTATTCTGACTGCCCTTAAGCATTACACCAATTAAAAACAAATTCTCGTCCATACCCAGAAAATAACATTTTAATAAGTGCCTAATATCCCATGGTTATCTTGTGAGGTCAGATAACGATGTTTACTAAAGTTAGGTTATAGTAACACTCCAGACAGCGAGGTTTATTTTTGAATTTTTAATTATCGTATTTTTAATCATCGTAAAACTATTTTTAAAGAAATTTAATTTTTTATATACTAGACATGTTACTAGACAAGAGTTTTAATCGCAGAAATACTACATACATCTGTAACAAATAAAAACTAAAAAATCCCAAAAACCACTATTTGACTTTACTCTATCATTTATATATTTCAAAATTAAAAATGGGATGTTTGCTATTTTTAAAGGAACCCTACCTATTATCATCAACTTCGGATATAATTCTTCTAACTGGGCAAGCAATTCAGATCCAAGCAAAGCCAAAAATGCTCCCTTGTTTAAATCTTGATTTTCAATAAAATTGTATAACTCATTAATTTTTGCGTTTAACAACATTTTTATGTTACTCAAATTTATAAAATAAAATTGTTTAATGCGAGAAGGCAAAAGATATTCTTCAATCGTTATTTCAATTTCTTGCTCAATTTGACAGTTAATATTTTGATTGGATGAATTTTCATCCTAAATTTATTTTAAATTATAAAATTTGTTTTTGTTGAGACTTAAAATAAAATTAAGACTAATGCTCCATCTAAAGTATGGAGTCTACTTTCTATCGAATAGCTTCCCGAGTAGTGTTAGTCCCCGACGGGGGGCCACGGGAGGGGGGGGGGCAGGGACGGGACGGGGAATTTTCAAAAAATCTCCCAAATTCCCCGACTTTCCTGGACAAGGACCAATCCTATTCCCGAGTCTCTTTCTTTCTAATCTCCGTTCAATTAGGTATCAAAGGACATCTTCTGCCTGGTACGATGTCCATTCCCTCGTTGTTCCTCTCTAACATCGACAAAATCTGGTCCTGAGGGCTTAAGTTATATATAGTTTCTACTTTATACAGCCATTTAATAACAAAAATTTACTTCTTGTACGAATTCCTTCATCGTCTCTAATTTTTCTCTCCACACATTATTCTTCAAAAGCTCTTTATCCTTAACAAATAAATTAATAAAATTGTGTAATTCACAAAATTTTATTTTTTCATCTTCCAAACTATCCAATTTATTTTCTAACATTTTTGCTTTATTAACATATTCATTAAAAACATTTCCAAATAATTCATTCCATCCTTCTTCACTTCCAACAAAATTTTTATAAATTAAATTGGCAGATCCATTTATTCTAAAAATTCCAATAAAATAATTATAAAATTTTGAAATTATTTTAATTAAAAAATCCTTTAACAATTCCTTATTTCCCCCTTCAAAATTTTTAATAAATTCTAAATAGTCGTTGGCTATTGTAATCATTTCTTCATCTTCTTTTGTTTCTACAATAGCCCCTTCGTTAGGATTTACTTGTTTGCTTTTTTTGATTAATAAAATTAATAAAATTATTAAAAATAAAGTTTGATTTATTTTCATTTTATTTAATCTCTAAAATTTATTTTATTATTATTGTTATTTTATTTTTTCAAACTTTTAACGGGCCGAAAACATACTATGTATAGTAAAGCAGCTGGGCTATAGCTATTTCTCTCCTTTAGCTAGTGTAAAGGTTAATCGGCGGCTGGGAGCGAACCAGCATCTTCAGTAGACCGGACTAATGTGTTAGCCATTACACCACGCCGCCTACTGCCCTTAGGAATTAAATAGCTATATGCTTTACATTATCAATATTTTATTTTTTTTTGTTATAATATTTGTGTTTTGTCCTGATTAGTAATAGATATTAGGTGTTTTGAGGGTCCAAATCCGACCTTGTTCATTTTTAGAGCCGGTTTCGGAGCTAGCTCCTTGAGCTTTATCTAACAATGGTCCTATCTTTTGAGAATAATGTTGTAGAATCTTTAAGGAATTTTACATTTAGCCCTATTTTATAAAGTGAAGGAATAATTTTATTAACTCTTAAATGAATTTTTTAATTGAGAATTGTTTAGAGAATTAAAAAAATTAAAAGAGAAATAAATTGACTGCTTAAAGTGCATTATGAAATATCATTTACTTAAGTATTATGTAATGTTAGACAATAACAAATATTTTTAAAATAGTTTTAGGTAAATCACGTGAATTTACATAAGAAAGTGACTAACTTTAAAATAATATTTCGATAACAATTGAGATTACACAGAATCCTAAAATAAGCAAAGGCTGTTACTCGTGTTTCAGTGCGGGAATATGGCTTAGTGGTTAGCGCGGCGCCTACTTCAGTACCGCTGAAACAGCCCAAAGTAACATAATGTAAGCTGCTATTAGATTATCATAGGGAGAAAATAGATCCGTTGTTTTCGAATTTCCAAAAATTTTGTTATATATTTTGGTCATTATATCCTAAGGCTACTTATTACAAAACGTTGCTTGGAGAACAAACAAAAATCGGACCTCATTCGCAGAACATCCTCTTAATACGACACTTTCATTTATGACATCGTAAATCAGAACTCGAACCTTCGATCGATTCTTGATCGGACTATAAGAGTTAGACTATAAGATAAACCCAAAGCAAGATAAGGATCAGAGCTATAACAAAGGGAAATATTAAAAAGTTATTCTTTTTTATTAATTAATTATAAAAAATTAATACATAGAAAGGAGGTTATTAAAATGGCAGGATGAAGTCGTCCATATATGCATTATGAAATGGTTATGAAATATTCCTTAGCAATAACATATTCATACATAAAGTGCATTTACATATGTGTAAATTCATATGAATTAAACAAAAAATATATGTATGTAGACATGAAAAGGATAAATGTTGGATGTCTAATAATTATGTAATTTTTATTAAAGTGGAAAAATTGGAGAAACCCACAGGAGGGAAGGAGTAAATAAACTTATTATTATCCGGCAAGTAAACGGATTGCTCTTCTGATTTAGAGTTCTATCAAATGATTAGGATTACTGGTTGGTGATTCTTTCCAGACTTAACTCCTCTCCTAAAGGTTCTAAATATTTGTCAGTTGGTCTTTCCTTTAATAGATCTGAGTGTAAACAAAATATGTCAATGTGATTTGGACCGAATTTTACAATGTCGGATCTGATTCTCATTTCGACTGGCCCAATTTGATTAATTAGGCCAGGGAATTATTTGAAAGAATTATTATGCAACGATATCCGAAGGAGGTGATTTAATAAAGGAAATACGGTATATTAAAAAAGGGTTATTAATATTTTTTAATCACCTATCAGATCTAAATCAAATATATATGAATTACTACATTATTATCAATTACCTATTGTAAGGTTTGAAAATCTGAAAGATATTCGGCTTTATTTGCCTATTATTTTTGCTGAAAGTATGCGAGGTATTGAAGAAATTAAAATTAATATTTTAAATTAAAAAACTGGAAAAAATATTTTTTATTATCCTTATTGAATATTCCAGCTAATCCAATAAAAAAGAAATATTCTAAATTAATCAAAAAAGAACTTTCTGGTATACATTTGAACGAGAAGTCAAAGATTAAGTTTATTTTTCCATGATTGATTTGCTAAAAATAATTTTTAGGCAAATTTTATTTATCTAAAAAATATAGAAACTCTCGTTTTAAAATTTCTCTTAAACCTTTTTTTTTGCAAAAACTCAAAAGCGAAATAAACTACAAAAAAATTTTTTGCAATTGAAAAAGTTGCCAAATAAAAAGCCAAATCCCCCTGCCAAATTAACTCATCATTTTTAATAAAAAATAAAATGAATTTATTTAAAATTAAAATATTCTCAATTTTAATATTCTTTTGCTTTAATTTAATTTTGGGGCAAATAATAAATAAAAATGGGAAAGACGACGAAATTACTCAAAGATTTCCTAAACAAAATTTTAATATTAATTTTAAACATTATTCGGGTATTTTAAATTAATAGGGGAGGGGGGGGGGGGAATTGAATAGGCAGCCTCCCGCCGCGATTAATTCACTTTTCACCCAAGTTTCAAGAAAAGTACAGAGTGCGGCAATTTTCTGCCCCTTTTAGCCGCAATCTTAAATAGGGGTGTCCTAGTATTGGGTTTATCCTATAGAAACATCTGACTGTTTTAATAATTATTTTTAAAGGTTATCTTCAAGTCTCAAAAACTAAATTCCTCCATTATATTTTCGCAAAATCACAAAATAACCCGGACAAGGATCCTTTGGTAAATTTTATTTTATAAATTATATGTATGTAGTAAGCTTTTACTAGTGAGTAAGAAAATATCGGAAGTTCTGGGATCGAGATTAAATGTGACTCAAATTCCATGATATTCCTTTAAAGCCTTCAAGCTCCAATATCCCTTATCTGATTTTATATTCCCAAGAGTACCATTTTCAAATTTTTTAATTTTATTTAAATTTTCAAAAAAAGGTCTTATGGTTAAATGGTGGCCCTGGATGTTCTTCACTTCTTGGTCTATTTACTGAATTAGGCCCTTATTTACTTTCAGAAGATGGTTCTAAATTAATTAAAAATCCTCATGCCTGGAATAACAATGCTAATGTTTTGTTTCTTGAATCCCCTGCGGGGGTTGGATATTCTTATTCAACTGATGGAAATCTTACTACTAATGATGATGAAGTAAATAAAAATTATTTTTAGAATATAGACTAGGAATGGGCCTTCCGTTTAGATTCCTGAAATCGAGAATTTATTTTTTATAAGTATGTATATGCCTGGCAGGCTTCCTGACACCTCACTTTTACTTAATACATTATTAGATACACTGGTATCTAAAAAACACAACTCCGCAACTCGGGGCCATACACAGCACTGAAATATACTATTAATTAAAAGCTAGAGCAAAGGATTAAAGAATATTTTCATTCCTATACAAGGACGATTTATCTAGAAGTATGTCTCTAGATGCAGGATGTCCTCCGACATCTTTTCAGTTGGCTATGTTGGTGTTCTTGCTAATAAGGGATCAGGGCTTATTCATTATATTTTAAACCCGTGTCTAATAATCATTTTAAATGCTAGCCAGCTTGATCTCTATTCTTAATAATTCTTTTTTAAAGACAGCAAATTACAACTATGAAGCCTTAAAACAATTTTTCAACAAATTTCCTGACTTTAAAGGACGCCCAACAATCATAAGTGGTGAATCCTATGCTGGTGTCTATTTGCCAATGTTGGCTAATGTAATTATTAATGGACAAAAAAATTATCCTATAAATTTGAAAGTGAAAGAGCTATCATTTTAATTTTAATATTTAATTCAAAAAAGGGAGTGTTAATTGGAAACGGATATTTAAGTCGAACTTTAAATATAAATACAATGCTAATTTATGCTCGCGGTCATGCCTTTGTAGATGAGGGATTATGGCAATCTTATAGTAAAGAATGCTGTAATGGATGTATTGGTATGCACATTTATTTTATAATTCAGTGAGGGTGTGGGTCCGAGGTTTTCTTGGAATTAGGATGGATAAATGACAAAGGGGATTTGGAGTTGAGCGAGTAATTGATAAAGCGTTCCTCAGTATGTTCAGTTCTGGGATTCGCTGTCGTTCTGAAATAGCCCAGAAATATTATTATGGTTGATGAACTGCATAGTAGAGGGCTATGAACTGATTATGCAGCTTGAACTGATTATGGATGATCAATCGCTAGCCTTTGCACTTTGTTCCTTCCTCAAAATTAAAAAATATTTCTACTAAAAATTGAACAAATATTAAGATACTTGTGACATTTGGGCATATGTTATTAACAGAAATACAACATGTTATAATCATGTATGTTAAAAATTAATGAAAAAAAATATTTTTATATTCAGACTGTTGCGATTTTTGATCAATTTTCTAATTGTATATCGAATGGTTATGACATTTATCTAAACTGTGGTGAATAAATTTTGTATATTTTTAAAAGATTATACAAAATTTACAGGTATGTCAACAAAATCATCACAATCCTTAGAAAATAATAGATTGCTTAGATTATTTTCTCGAACACCTTTTATGTTAAAAACACTGGGGAGTCTTTTACTTGAAGTATGTTTTATTTGGATTTGTAGCAAGGATGAGTCGGGTTGAGAAAAAAGCCGTCCCCGAACCCCAGAAACCGGCAGTATATTTAATTACACACAGAGGTTGAGAAAACCCTCTCAATACTATGGGCCAAATCTAACTGCGGCCACTCAATAACTAGTATGTATTGATAAATGTGAAATGTACTGATAAATATGAAAAATTAAATCTAGTCTAGTGCTATAAAGAAATAATACATATAACTATAACATTTTAAAATTTACACTCAATTAAAAATAAGGAAATGCCAGTTATCTGACAAAATTCTTGCAAAAAGATAAAAATATCTATTACCGTATTTACTCGATTAATTCCCCAACCTCAAATAATTCCTCACCCTCTATTAATTCCCCATGCCAGGGATGGGTTGAAAAAATAATTCCCCGGGGGAATTAAGCGAATAAATACGGTATCCATCTTATATTTTAATTCAGGAAAATAAATTCGAAAATTTAAAAATTCAATCGGAAGATGAGAGCTATGATCCAGCAATAATTCCTTGTGTTGATGGTATATTTAAATAAAAGTTTCTTTTAATTTTTATAATTTAAAGCAAATATTTTAACTAATTATATTAATTTACCTAAAGGTTTTTTGTTAATAATTTAATTAAAATAATTATAATTTATTAAAGTACGAGAAACGTTAAATATTCCAAAAAGTTTAAATAATATTACTTGGTATGAATGTAATGATTTTAAATATGATGAACAATATGGTGAATAAATTTTATCATTATCTTTTAAAAGAATGAACCCTTTAATTCGAATAGCACCTTTCAATAGAATTACGAACAAAATTCCCGGTTGTAATGCCCCTTAGGAAAGGGATTGGAAAATAGAATGCCAAATCATTCTATTGGAGGTGATACGCTATACTAAAAATCCGTATATTTTTCGGATAACCAGACCTTCTCCGTTTTTAGAAACAATAATTAACATTTGCTAATAAGAAAAGCCAAGCCGTATTGAGATAGGTAAATATCTACATATGTTGGGAAGTCAGGTGAGGGATTGTAGGTTTTGAGATTAAAACGATATTTCTTCAAGAATGATAAGAATATTTAAAACGTTTGCCCTAATTTAATTAGTGGTTGTGAATAGTGACTAAATTTGAAATATATCTGAATTGATAAACATAAAAATATTTTTATCGATATTATGGGTAACGGTCCGGTTTTCAAAAATTATCTAAGAGATAGAATTACAATTATAAATTTTTTTTAAAATTCTATAGATGATGTGGTAATATTCATGAAAAATATAATAAAAGCAAAAGTGCCAGTATTAGCATATTATGGAGATACTGATATTGTTTGTAATTTTTTGTTAGGCGAGAGATTTGCTGATCAGCTGGGAATTAATGTTTTTTTATATTTTAAATTATAAAAATATTCTTTTAGTTATTAAAACCAAAATATCCTTGGTTCTTTGAAAAACAAATTGGGGGTACTGTTACTGAATATGATGGATTTACTTTACTAACAGGTATCTTAAAGAGGCTTATTACGAATAGGGGTGTCGCTTAATCAGTAGCATACTTTAGGAAGGCTATGCTTAAACTATGAAAGGCTATGCTTAAGCACAGCCAGGCCTTCTCTTTTTAGCCAATACTCCGTAGCGCATCCCCATATATCAAACAGATTATACAAGTCATTATGTAATGAATCCTGAATAAATAAAGCAGAAAAAGTTTAAGAAAATGGCAAAAAATGCCGAAATTGCTCGTAAAAGGAAAAATATTTTTAGGGAACATTCATAATTTCGCATTATTTGGGATAAAGACATTTAAGATCTAATAAGAATAATTAATTTAATTTTTCAGTTAGAGGTGTTGGACACATGGTAAGGAATTAATTTTCTTAATTAATTTGGGGAATAAATTAAATTTTTTTATTTTTAAAAGCTCCCGGAATGGGCACCTGAAAGAGCATTGTATATTTTAACTCAATTTTTAAACCTAACTTCTATTTGATTTGAAAATGAAGAGAAGGGAAAGATGAAGATTTAAAAGAAGAATTAAATGGGGATATCTATTGGGAATATTTATTTACTTAGAATTTTTAATGGAATGTTGTTTCAAAAATTAATATTCAAAATTAATATTAAACGATTCCTTTCATCGAGCTAAAAAGATTGATACCAAAAATGAGGGGCCAAAAATATTCCAGCATTGGAACTGCGACGCCATGGCCGCGGGCCCTTTCGGGTGTCCCAATTTAAGGAGAAAATCATTAAAAAAAGCATTAAAAAAGAGGAAAATAAATGATTGACAATAAAAAAGGAAAATTAATCTGAGAATCACGTAGGGGTGTGGGGGGGCATTTAAAGTTTTCAAAACTTTAAAGATTTCCGCCTGCCCATTGTTGTTTCTTTACTTTCCAAATTTAACGATATCTCATTTACTCTCTTATTATCCACTAAATCGCCTTATTACATCCCTTAATCTAAGCAACTCCCGTGATATCTTCCTTAATTACCGATATCGCTTCTTATCCCTGATATAGTCTTTAAACCCCAAATCTACCTAACTAAATTAATGTGTTCAAGCCCCCTAATATGATTCTTTGTTCCTCTTTGCTATCCCCATTGATTCTTCGATATAAGTCTTAATCCGCTGTACCAACTGTCAAATATTTTCAAATCATTTAATACTTGATCAAATAATTTAATTTTCCAGACTCATCAAATTTCTATTACAAAGTATTCGAAAAAATTTTATCAAAACTTTGTAATTATTTGACCAAGAATATGAATATTGGGTCCCTTACAGGATCTGAATATGATGGAAATTATTAATTTAAATTTATTCAGCAAACATCAGATAAAAATTTAGCAAATTTAATTAAATTTTCAAAAGATTAATTTTTTTTAAAACCTCGGTTATCTTCGAACCTCGACCTCGTTTCAAATTTGACCCTCGACCTAGATACTCGTTTTTCAGTCTCGGTGATCCTCGGTCTCTTAATTTCGAAAAACCTCGACCTCGCGCAACCCTAGTTTATATTAACAATTAATTAGTAATTTACATTTAGCTTAATTAATTCATTTAAAATTCCAAAATTGAAACGATTTTTTTAAATGATTGATTATAAAAAATTAATTTTCGTTTCACTTAAATTTTCTGTTTAATTAGCTGTTTGGATAAATTTAAATTTAATTTAAATAGAATTTAGTTTATTAAATATAATTTTCACTCCCAAAAAGATAAGAGAGATTGAGTAAATCCAATCATCCTTTTTTAAAAGTTGTTGACAAGTCAAGTTTAATAGCTTTTGATTATCTCTCTTTAATTTTTGTTTAGAAAATTTGTTTATTTAGCTGATTATTTTAAAAAACCAAAATGAAAGCTGAATTCTGCCATACCAAAGTCATTCACTTAATTTTTTAAATTCAATATACAACTAATTTTGCCAACAATTTTTTCATATTTAATTAAATATAAAAAAAAATTATTTTTTAAAATCTAATAAAAATAAATTAAATTATTATCCCTTTTTATGATAATAAATTTATTTTTCTGTGTGGAAACTTTTTAATATGTTTTGATTAAACTATTTATATCTACAGGGTGCGGCAAAAGTTCCCTTACTTTTATTAAGCATAAAATTTATTTCAAATATTTTCTTAGATTTTATAAAATCTTAAAAAAGTGTTTATTAATATCTAATGAAAATAAAAATTATAACAAATGTCCAAAATGTCCCCCTCCGCCAAGAGGGGGACATACATATACGGTTGTAGCCAAATTAATCCCTCTATTTTGAGATTCAAAATAGAGGGGGTATAAAGTATGCGAAGGTTGGACAGATGGAGATCAGGGACTAGCCAGGTTCAGTATGATCTAACTAGACTGAAAACTCCTCTTCTTCACAGTCTAACAAATATAATTTATACGTGACCCTATTATCATTGTAATAAATTTATATTTTTTCTAGAAAAAATATCAATTTATTTTAAAAATGCAAAGAAACTTTATTAAACAATGCAAAGTTTGTGGTACAAAAGACCATGTTTGTTTTCATTATGGAGTTACTACATGTAGGGCTTGTGGGTCTTTTTTCAGGTATTTCTTATTTTTGTTACTTCTCCAGGGATGGGTCCTTTTGTATTTTTAAAAGCAAAAGATGGAAGAGACCTCCTCCCCACAGTCCACTTTTTCTTCTTGTACGGAAAAAGTAAAGTTTCCTTTCCTCTGTCGCGTTTTGTACGCGAAATTATTAGAAAAATTATTAGAAATTATTAAAAAACTCATTAGTCGTTTTTTCTCAACTATTTAATCTAAAAATGTAATTTTCTAACTATTACTATGTAGCTTTAATAAATTTAATAAAATTATGGCAAACAGCAATTTTGCCTTAAAATCCCTTTTTTAAACAATATATTGAATTTGGTATTTTACACCTCCGCCTCATTTGGAGGAGGAGGAAAAATAGAATGGCCGGCCATTCTATTAGAGACTTTATGGTAATTAAAAATCCTTTAAAAGGCGTTATCTTGAAAACGAAAATGAATCCAAATATAAATGTAAATGTTTGCCAAAACAATTGTCAAATGAGAATAAAGACGGTAAATCCGAAACAAATTTGGCAAAATGTAGAAAATGTAGACTTGAAAAATGTCTTTCTGTTGGAATGAGAAGATTGAGTTTGTTAAAGTTAGAGCTCAAACCTATCAAATTGCCGGGCTCTTATCTGGGTACTTTTTTTTCTGCCCCCCCCCCTCCCCCCCTCCCACCCCTATGTGAGTCTCAGATTAATTTTCCTTTTTTTGTCAATCATTTATTTTCCTCCTTTTTTAATGCCAATGATTTTCTCCTTAAATGTGGGACACCCGAAATGGCGCGCGGCCATGGCGGCGCAGTTCCAATGCTTGAATATTTTTGGCCCCTCATTTTTGGTATCAATCTTTTTAGCTCGATGAAAGGAATCGTTTAATATTAATTTTTAAAGGTTCTAAAATCTTGAAGTAAGTCATGGCGGTGTTCCATATTTGAAAGAAAAAATG